GCCCTACAGCCTGCCCGCTGCAGTGTGGCTGCAAACAGTGGGAGGAACGGAAACACGACAGGTACAATGTCATTTTTGTTTTAAGGCGTTTATGGTCGATCCCAAGTACACGGACTTGCACGGATTCTTTAGGGAAAAGTACTTCTCAAGTATCTTTTTAAAAAATATATATATTTCTATTGATTTCAGCGAGGAAGGGAGAGATGGAAACATCAATGATGAGAGAATCATGGATCGGCTGCCTCTTGCACGCCCCCTACTGGGGATCGAGCCCGCAACCCAGGCCTGTGCCCTTAACCAGAACCGAACCTGGGACCCTTCTGTCCACAGACCGGTGCTCTATCCACTGCGCAACACCAGCCAGGGCTCGGGATCATTTTCACGTGCGTGTCTCTCCCTGGAGGGAAGGCAGCCGCTCCCTGTGCCCAGGGCCCCGGGGCTCTGGGCTGACTCGTGCTCCTGTCTCTGCCAGCCCTGGCCTCCGGGCACTTCGCTCCGTGTTAAAGGTCGCCCTTTCTAGCATTGTCAGGGGCTCTGCTTCCTCCAGCTGCATCCTGGACGCGTTCGCTTTAACTGGCTGTGGTCCCGGGGGTCTGCCCTCCCATCATCCCGATGAGCAGCCCTCACTCTCACTCCGGGTGGTGACTTCTCCTGCGGGGCCAGGGCGCCCCTCCCCGCCCCCCCTGATTCCCGCAGGCCTCCCCTCGCACCCTCCTCCTCTTCCGTTTCCGTGGCTGCTTTTGCTTCTCTGTCCTCCGTGTGAACAGGAGTGGGCTCCTCTGGCTCCGGGGAGCTGCCCCCAGGCCGGCCGTGGTTGAGCGTCCACCTATGAACCAGGAGGTCGCGGTGGGAGTCGGGTCCGGGCACATGCCGGGTCCCGCTGGACCCGCTCCTGGGGCTCTGGAGGGGCGCCGGTCCGCCCCGCCCTCCCCGAGTTGGCACTACAGCCCCCGGGGGGCGGATGCTGCGGAAACTGCCCGCAAGTCCAGCGGCAGGTGCAGGTGAAGCTCAGCGCGCAGGTGAGCCTCGACCTATGAACCCGGGGTCACAGTTCAATGGGGTGCGGGCTCGATCGCCAGTGGGGCGGGAAGGAGGCAGCCGATCAATGATCCTCTCTCATCATTGATCTCTCTCTCTCTCTCTCCCTCTCCCTTCCTCTCAAATCAATAAAAACATTTTATTATTATTTTTTTTAAGAAAAGAGGGGGGGGAAGAAAAAAGGAAGGTGCCGCAGATTCGGCTGTGGACAGAGGGCG